GTTGCTTGCGCCTGGAGTTTGCTGGACGTCTCTTCACCTGGGAGCTGGTTAGTGGGGGCAGGCAGCCTCCGGGCCGCCCGGGCCGGTCCCGCCGCCGCCTCCGGGCCGCCCTCGGGGCCTCCGGGCGATCACGGCGCGGGCAGCTGCGCAGCTGCGCCGGGCTGGGCCTGCGGCGCCCGGCCTATCTCTGAGAATCTTGATTGGCTCAGTGTACCACCTGGCTCAGCCTACCCAGTGGCTGCCTTTGAGGGAGGTGACTTCCAGTAGGCCAATCAGCTGTGCCTTTGGCCCAGCCTCCTGGTGCAAAAGTTGCCACTTAGTGTTTCCTTCCTTTCTCCTCCATTTTCCCAAACCCCAGAGGGAAGAAGTGGCAGGAGGAACTGGGCCCCCTCCACCTGCGTCTCATCAAGCCGTTCACCTCTTCCCCAGGCCTCTCTCCACTGGGAGCACAGAGCTGCTGTGCCTCTTTTCCTCCATCTTCCTCTTACTATTACCTCCCTTTTGACCCCGAACTCCAGATCTCCAGGCAGGAGGCTCTTTGCCATTTGATGACTGAGTCCATCCACCACCCAAAAGGTAACCAGCTGTGGTCTGTGGTGGAGGGACCCCAACACAGACCGGGGGACTCCTGAGAAGTCCCCCACTCCCTGTCTATAGGATCCCCCGGGACTCCCAAGAGCCTCTCACACTTTGCTGACCCCTTGACACCTTTTAAGACTTTGGGAGCCATGCGCCGGTGGCTCACGCCTGTAATCCTAGCTAAACAGGAGGCTAAGATCTGAGGATCAAGGTTCAAAGCCAGCCTGGACAGGAAAGTCTGTGAGACTCTTATCTCCAATTAACTACCAAAAAAATGGAAGTGGCGCCTGTGGCTCAAGCGGCAGAGCACTAGCCTTGAGCTGAAGAGCTGACAAAAGAAAAAAGAGAAGAAAAAAAAAGACTCTGGGGATGCCCTCTTCTAATTATTTTATTATTTTGAATTTATTTCATTTTTGTCGGTCGTGGGGCCTGAACTCTGGGCCTGGGTGCTGTCCCTCAGCTCTTCAGCTCAAGGCTAGCGCTCTACCACTTGAGCCACAGTACTACTTCCGGCTTTTTCTGCTTATGTGGTGCTGAGGAATCAAACCGAGGGCCTCATGCATACAAGGTAAGCACTCTACCACTGAGCCACCTTCCCAGCCTGCCTTCTCCTAATTATTGGGTTCTGTTCATTTGCCTTCCCAAAGCGACAGGACAGGCCACTCCATAGTCCTACCAAATTTTCCAAAATGCACTCTAAATTGTCTGTTCCCAGAGACATCCCATTGTCTTGCCTTTGGTCTAATCTTAAGGCCTCTCGGGCTGATTGATTTGCAGTAGAAACAAAAACAAAACAAAACAAAAAGAACCTGACATGTTTGTCTACTGAAATCTGGCCTCACTATCATTTAAACAATGGTCACCCTTGGCCTACATTTGGAAACTTTGGTTTTAAAATTCTTACTGATTTAACCAATTCACCAATAAAACCGCAATAAGTCCCAGGCCCCCTAGACCCCAGCTCCCACCTCCCAGACCCAAGGCTTCTTTGTTAACCTCTGCCTCCTTGCTCAGACCTCATAGAAACCCAACTCCTGTCCCACCTCTTTATAGTTTCCAAGCTCCCAGGAAGGCTGCTCTATCTCAACAGTCCTTGCCTGTGGAAGATGAGTCCAGCCTGTTTCCTTCCTTTCTCCTCCATTTTCCTAAGAATAACAATGTGAGATGTTTGATTTTTCTGCGTGTTTCTGTACATCTTTACATACTCTTCTCTGCTGGGTGCAGGCTGTGGAGATCACATGATTTTCATCTGTGGTGGGGAGATTTCCCTCAGCAGTTAGCATATACAGTGGGGGGTAGAGGGTGGGGGGTGGGGGAGGCCCTGTCATTTGAAGTGATTTTTTTTTAAGCCTGAAAGAGTGGAGCCACAGACAGCTGCCTCACCCCTTTGCCTTCAGGGTCCCGGCTGGGTCTACTGATGCCTCTGTTGTGTGATCCAGCAGGCAGAAATTGTTGTCTCCAATATCTCAGCCACCTGTACTGGCAGCCTTTGGAGGTTAAGTGACTCAGAAATCCTTAAGACTTGACTGGTTCCTAGCCTCCAAATCTCATGGTTGTGTCCACCTGAAAAAGCCTGTCTAGCCACAAGCTGCTTACATCAGCCCATTAAGCAAATCACTCTGTGGTGTCAGGCCCATTTCCCAGTGGAGGCTAAGGTGTCATGGAAATGTGAACAGACTATGGACAAACCAAGCAAAAGAGTTGGAATAATAGAAGTAACTCAGGTTTATTTCATGCCAGATGTTGGTGGACAGAGAGGAGTTCCTTTCCAATGAGGGAGTATTGATGTAAACACAGGGATTTAATAGACAAGTTTAAGTTGGGGGGTGCAGATGCGGGGCAGTCAAGTAGGCTGCAGTTGGGACAGGGGTTTACAGGATACAGGTGCAGGGCAGCTATGTAGGCTGTGGCTGGATCAACAATCACAGTTTCTGGGAAATCATGTCATTCTCTGGGTCAAAAGACAACAGAGGGCTGAGAGCGAGTAGCGCATGCCTGTAATCCTAGTTCTTCAGGAGGTTGAGATCTGAGAGTCATGGATTGAAGCTAGCCTGGGCAGGAAAGCACTTGAGACTCATCTCCAATTAAACACCAAACAAGCTGAAGCAGAGCTGTGACTCAAGTGGTAGAGCACTAGCCTTAAGCAAAAATGCTCAGGGACAGTGCCCAGGTCCTGAGTTCAAGCCCCAGGTACATGCGCATGTGTGCTTGCACACACAAACACATACAGTAGGAATTTACAGTCACCGGAGGTTCAGTTTTACAACCATGATATCTGGAGTTCAGGAGATAACAGTAGCTTTTACTACTATGGCAGTTTCTCATCATTTTCTGTATTGTATTTCTACTAAGCTCCCTGACAAAGAGAGTTTTCTGAAATGGCCCCAGAGAACGATGCTGATGGGCAGGGAGGCCAATCTCTGGCCAGTAATCAGTATAAATTGATCTCTCAGTAATTAGACCTCTCATTCCTCAGAGACTATGGTCTTTTGTAATTTGGACAAAAGAGTTGATGCTATCTGGGGGTACTTTCATTTTCTCTGCCAATTTAAGAACAAAAAGGCATGGCAGCCTATCCTTGTGGCGCATGCCTGTAATTCTAATTACCTGGGAGGTTGAGATCTGAGGGGCATGGTTTGAAGCCAGCTAGGACAGAAAACTACATGAAAACTCTTTCCTCCAATTAAATGCCAATAACAAGTTGGAAGTGGTGCTGTGGCTCAAGTGCTAGAGCGCTAGCCTTGAGCAAAAAAGCTTAAGGACAATGCCCCAGGCCCAGAGATCAAGCCCCAGGACTGGCACCAAGAAAAAAAAAAAAAGGCAGCAAAATATTTGAAGTAAATAGTGCAAATTTATTTGAAAGTGAAAGAAAAGAAAGAAAAGTTGGGGGAAGCACACTATCTGAGAATGGAGAGGGGAATTTTCTAGGGGAAAACACCAAGAAGTTTTTATCTGGTTGTGCTATTGGATCCATAGACCCTCCCTCCTGGGGATTGTATCTTGGTTGGACTGGGTAAGCAGTGGTCACTTGTTGCTGGAGAACTTTCTGATTGGATCCCCCCTACCCCACCCCCCAACCAGAGGTGTAAATTTCTGATTGGACTTTTCTCACCTTGTAGCAGAATGGGCGGGCTTGTCTGCTGCTTGGCCTTTGTAAAACACTTTCTAATTGGATCTCCTGAGCAAGGGGTCCTTCTGATTGGATCCCTTCCACCTCATAACAGGAGGGTGAATGTGGGAGAGCTTGTCTTCCACTTTTTTTGTTGTTGTTGTTGGTTGTGGGGCCTGGGCCCTGTCCTCAGCTCTTCCGTTCAAGGCAAGCACTCTACCACTTGAGCCTTAGCCCAACTTCTACTTTTCTGAGTGGTTTATTGGAGATAAGAGTCTCATGGATGGGCAGCTCAGTGGTAGAGTGCTTGCCTTGCATGCATGAGGCCCTGGGTTCGATTCCTCAGCACCATATAAGCAGAAAAAGCTGGAAGTGGTGCTATGGCTCAAGTGGTAGAGCTCTAGCCTTGAGCTGAAAAGCTGAGGGACAATGCCCAGGCCCAGAGTTCAGGCCCCACAACCGGCAAAAAAAAAAAAAAAGAGTCTCATGGAGTTTCCTGCCCGGGCTGGCTTTGAACCTTGATCCTCAGATCTCAGCCTCCTGAGTAGCTAGGATTATAGGCATGAGCCACCGGCACCCAGCTTCGCCTTCCACTTTGTATCTTGTTAACACCTGTCTTGGAACCCATGGTCCGGGGCCCACCAGGAACAAGTAAGGTATTTTATGCTGCTCTGTTGTTCCCACCTGATTGGCCTTTGCCTCAGCTGCCCTTTTCCACCCCTCTCTAGCTAAACAGTCAGTTCACTGTTTCTCATTCTTCACTCATGTCCTGGTAGGTCTCTCCTTGTTGCTGGAATAATGTCCCAGTTGGCATTCTTGCTTTTTGCTAGATAAGATTTCCCAACCAGTTGGTCTGATTCCATATTGGAGGGAAGTAACTGACTAGTCAGGGACTCTGTCTGCCAATAAGACATTTCAAGCAACAGGGAAATCAATTAGAAATAGCTCTTAAGCAGGGTTTACCTAGAGCCCATTAAGATTAAAAAGCTAAGTCTGACAAATAAGTACTTGTAAAAGTCGTCCCTCGATGGGTCTGACAGCAAATACTCCAGAGGACCAAGTCTGTCCCAAGTCTCCTTGAGCCATGATTGATTCTTGTTTTCAAGGCCACAAACTATCTCAGTCTCAAACTGATTCAGTTCAGCTCAGGTGTTGTTTAGGATCCTTTGTCTTGTAGAATTCCGTGAATGAAAAATCACCGGTGATGAAGTGTGAGAGCAAAATACTGAAGTTTGTATATTTAGAAAGAAAAGCAAAGAAATACTTGCAGAGCAGGGAGAGATCTTAAGAGTCCATTGTTGCTTGCAATCCTTTCTTTCTGGGTCTTTATGAAATTATGAGCCGGTTGTGAAGTTGGTCATGCATTTCACCGAGTACACAGTGCCTACTGGAGAGGGGCTTATTGACACATTGTCCTTTTTAGCCAGAGGGCACGTTCGGTGTTGTTCTTTCACATACTACCTGCAGCCTGCACAGCCTGCTGGCCCTGTGGGTGCAGCCTGGGTCCATGAAGGTTGGCACCGATAAACGCCACGCTCCTAGTAGGACTCAAGAGTTGGAGCAACTTTTGGACCTGCTATCTTCCCTCTGTTGTGTGGACCCAACCTCCCTGCAGCCTCAGGATTGTGATCTACAAGTGACCTGGGCCCTGAGACAGGTTGGTGGTTTAACGAAGGCCAATGGACTAGGGCTGTACAGTGGAGTTGTGGCACAGGCTGGCTTTTCTTTTGCCTGGTTGGAGTAGCGCCGGACTCCCCTTCCTCAGATGTGGACGCAGTAGAGCTGGACACTTCCACTGATTCGGAGCTCCCGTAATTGCTCTAGCACTTGCTGGTCCAAGCTGGTGGCTCCCAGCCCCTGCCCATTGAGTGCCAGTTTCAGTCCTCCTTCTTGGCACAGAAGCAGCACCTGGCGAGGAGAGTCTGAAGAGGTGACAAGCTTTCACGCGTATCTCCCTCTGACTGATGTGCTACTCATGGAGACCCTCCTCCCCGAGAGGACACAGAGAAAGTCCCACAGTGGCCTTTGAATCTTCCCAGCCCCAGGCCTCAGTTTCGTTACCTGCAACTGGGGTTGCTTCCCATTAGAAAGTGGCTGTACATAGGAGCTTTATAATAGGGAAGCTTTATAATAAAGCTGATGCTTGAGCCCCCACTTCATTTAATTATGCGTGGGTTTCATCAGCATGGAGGTTTGAGGGCCAATGCCTGGACCATCGCTGCTGGGCTCCCTTTGGCATCCAGCTTCATACCATCTTCCCCGCTCACCCATCCCCAGCTATGCCCCCTGGTCTTCCAGATCAATATGGGACTCTGCTGTGCACTCTCTCCCAGGATGTGGCCTACCTCGAAGAATCGCTGGGGGTAAAAGAGGAAAGGGGCTGGGATGAGCTTCTTGCGTCCCCAGTGGGAGATCCAGGCCAGCGTCTGGTCTGCGAAGGAAGCCCTCAGGGTCACGGGCACGCGGGCAGCCTCATCTCTCAGGCTCAAGGTGAAACTACAGAAGCAGGCCAGAGAAGAGGATCAGCCTCCACTGTCCTCCGGCCCGTGCACAGCCCAAGGGGAGGTAGAACAGCAGCTGGAGGATTGGCAGTTTCCACGCGCTAATGACTTAGGTGTTAAGTCCTTAGGAGCACCTAAATCCTGATGACTCAGGTGCTCTAGGTAGGTGCTTGGACACATACTAGCTCAGAGGAGAGGAAAGAGCAAGTGTCGCTGGCTGGAGGGTCATGGTGGAGGCCATTACCTAGCCGAAGCCTCAGTTTCTCTTCCTGAAAGGGAAAACTGTGATATTGATAATAGTAGCTAACCCCTCCTTCCCTCCCTCCTTGCCCCATTCTTCCCTCCCTCACTTCCTCTCTCCCTCCCTTTCTTCCTTCTGTCCTCCTTCCCTCCTCCTCTCCTTTCCTCTCTTCCTTTCTTCCTTCTGTCCTTCCTCCTTCCCTTTCTTTCTCTCCCTCCCTCCCTTCTTTCTTTCTCTCCCTCTCTTTTCTTTCTTTCTTTCTTTTTTTTTTTTTTGTCGGTCATGGGGCTTGAACTCTGGGCCTGGGCGCTGTCCCTCAGCTCTTCAGCTCAAGGCGAGCGCTCTACCACTTGAGCTACAGCGCCACTTCCGGTTTTCTGGTGGTTTATTGGAGATAGGAGTCTCAGGGTCTCTCCTGCCGTGGCTGGCTTTGAACCTCGATCCTCAGATCTCAGCCTCCTGAGTAGCTAGGATTACAGGCGTGAGCCACCAGCGCCCGGCTTCTTTCTTTCCCTTTTCTTTCTTTCTCTCTCTCTTTCTCCTTCCCTCTCTCCCTCCCTCCCTCCCTTTCTTTCACTTTGTAGTCCAGGCTGGCTGGCTCCGGCCTCTGGAATGCTATGATTAAGCTAACATTTACTAAGTGATAACTATATTGCCTTAACTATTTTGTACATCATTTAAAGGTTAGAGTCAGATCCCAAGGGTTTGACTCTGGCTCTGCTGCTTGCTGTGACCCTGGGGAGGGGGGGGAATCACTTAATTCCTCTGTGTTGGTTTCCTCAGCTGTCATTGAGGGGTAGTAACAGTACAGCATCTATCTTGTAGGGTTGTTGTTAAATGAATTAAATGAGTTAGTACAAGTAAAGTGATTGAGTAGGACAGTGCTTGGGACATCATGAGCACACAGATGCTACTTGGTGTCTAAAAAATAATGCAATATGTACCTCATAAAGCCAGCCCCCCCCCAGAAAAAAATAGGAATGAAGGAGTTAATGGGAGTGAAAGATAGGAAGGATCCAGTGCACAATAAGGGTGTTAGAGAAATCAGGATCCTTAATCCTCACAGAAAACCTCAGGTGTCATGAAGTTTATCAGCTCGTTGAACTAATGAAGGCAGGAAGTTAAATGTTTTCTTCTGCTAGTCTCAACAGCTTGTCCTAGTGTGTGAGCCAGGATTCAAGACTAGACGGAGGAAGGTCTTTCTTTTCTTATTTTCTTTTTTTTGGGGTCCGGTTGTAGGGCCTGACCTCTGGGCCTGGGCGCTGTCCCTCAGCTCTTCAGCTCAAGGCTAGCGCTCTACCACTTGAGCCACAGCGCCACTTCCTGCCTTTTTCTTTTTTCTTATGTGGTGCTGAGGAATCGAACCCAGGGCCTCATGCATACAAGGCAAGCGCTCTACCACTGAGCCACCTTCCCAGCCCATGGAGGGAAGTCTTTCTACTGCCTGGCATCCACCTCTCAAGTAGGGTCCCTAGACTCTGTTCTGTGTCTCAGAAGCTTCTCGATACCTCCTTTGAGGCAGCTGAGGATAAGTGGAGACAGAGGATGCAGATAGTGGGGGGGAAGCCCACTCTGGTGGGGGGGGGGGTTCAGTGGCTCCTATGGATCCCTTCCGGCATTGGAAAGGAGACAGACCGCAAGACTTTCAGGTAGGAGGAAGGTTGGAAGGTAAGGCTGTGGGAGAATGGATATGCATGGAGATGGATATGCATAAGAACACATGGGCTTCTACACTGTGGCTGGGCCAGTCTCCAGCTTCCTGTCCCACCAGGCACCCGACCCAGACAGGGCTTACAGTCTTCCCACCAGCCTGGGAGCTCTGAGCAGTCCCAGTACCTCCCTCACCTCACTCCGCAGGACTGGCTAAAGACTCCCTCTAGATGCTCTACAGACTGTGCAGCTCTTGGAGGTTGTGGCCAGGCGTCCCACTCAGGCTGGAATGGGAGGGAGGGACAGACCTGCACTGCCAATGAGCTCCAGGGAGCCCGCTTTTGTTTTCTCAGTCCAATGTATTGTTTCTAAAAACAGCAGCAGCATTCATGGCGCGCCTCGCCAAGTGCCAGGCATTGTGCTGCGTCTGCAGGCCTGTGGCCCACAGCTGAACTGGCCTATAGGAATACTGTTCAACCTCAACACCAGATTCAAAAGCTGAGTTATTAAAGGATGGTTTTCAACTTCTCTCTTATTTTTTTATTTTTTGGTCCGTTGTGGGGCTTGAACTCTGGGCCTGGGCACTGTCCCTCAGCTCTTCAGCTCAAGGCAAGCGCAATACCACTTGAGCCACAGCGCCACTTCCAGTTTTCTGGTGGTTTATTGGAGATAAGAGTCTCACGGACTTTCCTGCCCTGGCTGGCTTTGAACTGAGATCCTCAGATCTCAGCCTCCTGAGTAGCTAGGATTACAGGCGTGAGCTACCAGTACCCAGCTTCAACTTCTCTTTTAAAAATTGCCAACCACTGGTGGCTCACGCCTGTAATTCTGTAATCAAAGTTCAAAGTCAACCCCAGAGGCAGGAATGTCTGAGACTCCTAAAATGTACCACCGAAGAATCAGAACCTTAAGTACAAAAGCTCAGGGATAACACCCAGGCCCTAGGACTGGCACAAACAAGAACCAGAAGATGTGACATGACCAGACTTAGGGAAATATTCTTTCTTCCCAGCTTGGCACCTCAGCATTTCTATGGGCTGTGTGGTCTCTGAGTTCGTGTGTATTCCCTCGTTGTGTGAACTATGCCACTGAGCTACAAGGGCAGGGAAGTGTTCTTTTGATCACTGGCATCTTTTCATTTCCCCTTATCAGATTGAAATTACTTTCCTATTTTTTTTCCCAACAGAGAAAAAAAAAATAGACTTTTAGAGAGGCCTAATGACTTTGTAAGCATTACGCCCACCTTTGCTCCTCAGCTCCACCCAGACCTGAGCTCCTCCCTGCCCTGAAGTTCCTGCCATACAGCTGGCCCCTCCCTCTCTCCGCCCAGACCCACCTGAACTTCCACCTACCTCACTTCCAACCCCCAGACCCTGCTGCTACCTAGATAGTAGAGGGCACCATGCGCTCTCTCTCCGAGGGAAATATGGCTCCTCTAATAAACCTTGTAATAATCCTTGTCCTGTGCCTGTCTGCCTCCACATGGTCCCCTGGGATGGATCTGATGGCTCCTTCCAGACTTGCTCAGACAGGTGAAGTGTACAAGAAATCAAGACTCTAACCAGTCATGCCTGGTTTTGGAGGATCATGCCATCCAGGTCTGTGCTTATCCTGCCCCCAGAATTCACACATGGGATCAGTCAAGGGGTAGAGAGGTCAGTGACTTAAACATTCAAACAAAACAAAACAAAATGCCGGGCACCATTGGCTCACGCCTGAAATCCTAGCTACTCAGGAGGCTGAGATCTGAGGATCCAGGTTTGAAGCCAGCCTGGGCAGGAGAAGTCCCTGAGACTCTTATCTCCAATTAATCACAGAAAAAGTCAGAAGTGGTGTTGTAGCTCAAGTGGTAGAATGCTAGCCTTTAGCCAAAGGACAGCTCCCAGGTCCAGAGTTCAAGGCCCAGGACCGGCAAAAAAACACAAAAAACAAAAACAGGAAGAACATAGTGTTGTTCCCACTCTCTCCTCTCCTGTCTTCTCTGAGATAATTCTGATACCACCCCACTGTGGAGTACTTACTGTGTGCTGCCAGGTACTATCCTGAGTACTACCCCCGCAACAAGCATTATCATTACTTTTCAGATAAGGAAGCCCAGGCACAAAGAAGAAAAGTAATTACTCTCAGGTTGCCCAGATCAGTACATTTCCTGAGCAGATGACAACCCAGTCAACTTAGCCTAGATAAGAAAAAAAAAAAAAAACAAGTCCACTAGTTTTCTTTAAAGTAGCAGCAGGAGGCATTGGGACTGCAGGATTTTATCCACAGGTCTTGGTTTTAGCACCCCCTGGAGGAGATGGCAGGTAGTACCCATTTAGTAATTGTCCTTTGAATTCCTGGCTTCCAGGTACCAGCCCCTTCACCCTAGGGCTGTTCCCTAAACTAAGCATGGTAGGAAGTCAGTCCCCTCTCTGGGCCTCACCCTGTGCCCGCAAAGCTCTTTCCTGGGATCTGGGATGTGGGCCTAGTCGGTCAGAGGAGAGATCAGCTACTAATCCCAATCTCAGCCTGACTTTCATAAGCTCTGTAACTTTAGGCAAAGTACTTCTTTCTGTTTTTTTTCTTTTTTGGTCAGTCGTGGGGCTTGAGGGGCGCTGTCCCTCAGCTCTTCAGTTCAAGGCAATCACTCTATCACTTGAGCCACAGCGCCATTTCTGGTTTTCTGGTGGTTAATTGGAGATAATTGAACCATGATCCTCAGGTCTCAGCCTCCTGAGTAGCTAGGATTACAGGCGTGAGACACTGGCACCTGGCTTTGTTTTCTCTTCTGTAAGAAGTTAGATGGTGGTGCTGGGAAATGAAAAGAAGGGGATGTTTCGTTGAATAACTTACTCCTTCGGCTCTTGCGTGACCAGCCCTCGAACTATGATGACTTGTCCAGGCCAGAGACCTCGAGAAAGAGCACGTGAGCAGGGCAATTCCTGGAGAAAATAGGAGATCACGGAGTAGGGCGGTTACAGGTGTTCAGGGTGGGCTCCACACCTAGGCTTCACCAGCTACCCTTGGGGACCTGGCTAGCACCAGGGCAGGCAAATTTACCTGTTTGCTTGAAGCTAGGAGATTCAGCTCTGCCCATGCAGCTCACCTGCTGCATGCCTGCAGGAAGCTCCCTCTAACCATTCATGCTGAGCTCAATATGTGAGCACCATGACTGCTCTCTGAATTGTCATAACTATTCCAGTGGCTCACCCTCCCCCAGCCTGTGAGCAGCTATAGGGCCAGGGCTGGCGTGTCCCTCTGTTCTAATACCTGGTCCTGGGTCTGTGCACAGGGTAAATGGAGAGAAGGTAAAGTGAGGCTGCCTGGGGCTTGAGCCTGGAGCTGTGCAGCCCACCCACAGCAGCAGTATTCCAAAAAGAAAGGGAAACTGCTGAGCACCAGTGGCTCATGCCTATAGCTGCTCAGGAGGCTGAGATCTGAGGATCGTGGTTCGAAGCCAGTTCAGACAGGAAAGTCAGTTCAGACAGGAAAGTGGGTGAGACTCTTATCTCCAGCAAAAGGTTGGAAGTGAAAAGCCAGAAAGCAGGTACTTAAAAGGAGTCAGGTGTGGTCAAAGGGAGAATGAATGAAGAGGAGCAGGGGGAAATGCAAGCAAGAATTTAATGTATCACCTACAAAATTAAGAAGAGTGAAGGGGTAAGTAGGGGAGGAATGCGTGAGTATAGGGAAAGGGGTGACATTGTTCAGGATGCACTCAATAGAGTGTATGAATACATAAACTGCTTTGTTAAATAGCAAATCCTTTGTCTACTTAAAGATAATTTTTTTTTTAAGCCAGAAGTGAAGCTGTGGCTCAAGTGGTAGCGTGCTAGTCTTGAGCACAAAAGCTCAGGGACAGTGCCCAGGACCAGCAATAAAGAAAGCCATGGGGACAGAGGGAGCCACGAATGGACCACAGGAACGTCACTTACCAGCCGGGCACTGTACAGCAGAAAAGGCTGTCGGGAAAGAAGGAAGCAGGATGAGGCTATTGGTGTTTGCTTGGGGAAAACTTCCTCATGCCATTCTTACATACTGGGGAAACTTGGGGTGTGAGCTTCTTATAGCAATGAGAGAGTCCTTGGGGCCCCGTAGGGTCCTCTTAAATGCAGAGACCCAACATCTCTGGATTACATGGGGGGGGGTCACGTGCCTCATCTCCCCTTCGGTGAGACCAATCTACCCATGTGTACAGGGCCGTTCTGAGAACCACAAACTCCAACAGAAAGACATCTTCTGATGGGACTCAGGGATTCTGGGAGCCATCCTCATCTATTTTCCCAAGCTGGTCCTAGACAGGGGCTGGGAGAGGTAAATGCAGGTTCTCTAGGGGCTGATGGGAGCTGGGCAGATCCATGGCCACGTGAGCAGTGAGAGAAGGGTCAGCCGAGCCCGGTGCCGAGTGCAGGGGCAGGAGAACCCGCCTGTCCCAATAGTGTGGCTGTCCGATGCTCAAGGGCAAGGACCGGCCTTGCTGCCAGGGAACTCACATGTCCGGCTGGATATTCTTTGCTGCCTTCTGCAAATGGCTGTTTGGGAAGAGGAAAAACAAAGACAAGCACTGGCAATATTTGGGACTACTGGAAGCCTTAAGAGCCATTTATTTGACTCTGGCCTTCCCTTCCTCCAGCCCACACAGCTTGTCGTGGGTCCTAAATCTGGAATTTTGAAACTATGGATTCCTGACCTTGTCTCTGACAGGACAAACCACAACCTCCAGGGGCCGACTCAAACGCCCGAACTTGGAAGGATTTTCTTAGCCAGCTTGCTGGAACTATGTGGCTTTATTTATTTATTTTGTCCATTGTGAGGCTTGAACTCAGGGCCTAGGCACTGAGTACTTTTGCTAATGCTCTACTACTTTAAGCCACAGAGCTACTTCTGCTTTTCTGGGGGTTAATTGAAGATAAAAGTCTTACTGACTTTTATGCTGGGGCTGGCTTTGAACCGCGATCCTCAGATCTCAGCTTCCTGAGTAGCTAGGATGACAGGTGTAAGCCACTGGAGCCCAGCTTGCTACATGGGCTTTAATAAGCCAAGTCCTTCCCTGGCTGGCATAGCTCCTCCAAGTTGTCCAGCCCCCCTGCAGCCAGGGCTCCCCCCTCCTGCCTGTGGCTCCTGCATACCTGTCTGCTGTCACCTTGCCTCCCTCCTCCCCCGATTCACTTCTGACACTTCTGTGGCTCTTCCTCTTAGGTGATTACTAGTGTCCAAGGTTTCCTTTGTCTCATGGTCTGTGGTGGGTGATTGGGCCCCGGGCTTGTGCGGGGATCAGGTGAAGCCAAAGGCCATTAGCACACAAGCCAACTTACATTGATGTTAAGGAATCCAACCGCTTTCACCAAGATGTCGCCATAGATGCCCAGCGTATTTACCCGACACAGCGGGAGCCGGTAGTGGAAGTGGAGAAAGTGCTTTCCATTTATGCTCACCTGGAGAGGCAGAGGCTTGGCTCGATGGAGTCTAGTGTTCACTGGATCCATTAGCTCATGCCATGCATCAGTGAACATGACTCCCTGGCTTTGTACCTATTTGGCTTCATACCAAACATATGATGAGCTTAAGTAACTAACCTAAGGTAGCTGGGCGACCCTACCTCCACCCCTGCCCCCCCCCCCGTGGTTCACTGTAATCCTAGCTACTGAGATCTGAGGATCACGGTTCAAAGCCAGCCCAAGCAGGAAAGTCTGTGAGACTCTTATTTCCAATAAACCACTAGAAAACTGGAAGTGGTGCTGTGGCTCAAGTGGTAGAGCGCTCGCCTTGAGCTGAAGAGTGCAGGGACAGCACCCAGGCCCATAGTTCAAGCCCCACGACCGACAAAAATAAATAAATAAATAATTTAAAAACATAACCTAAGGTAGCAATGTTGTTCTAGGGCTTAAACTCAGAGCCTGAGCACTGTCCTTGAGTGTTTTTGCTTATGGCTAGCTCTCTACTACTTGAGCCACAGCACCTCTTCTGGCATTTTTGGTGGTTAATTGGAGATAAGAATCTCATTGGGCTTTGGACCAGGATCCTCAGATCTCAGCCTCCTAGTGGCTGGGATTCTAGGCATGAGCCACCCAGCTCCATGTCCTCTTTTTATCTATGACAAAGCATTGCTTTTACTTAGCAGACATGAAGCATTCCCATCATCCCACCTACAGATGAGGAAACCGAGGCCCGAGAGGCTGAGAGCTCACTCAGACCCCCGGCCAGCCCCCTCATCAGCTGCCTGGTCCTCTGGAGCTGTCAGTAGGTCCCATCATGTCTGGTAGACGTTCGTGTCAGAAGTCAGAGTGTTGAGGTCAAGTTCTCTTTCTCTGACCCCTGTAGCCTCAGCTGGCAGATGAGGAATCATGAGAGCCCTTGCCTTGGAGGGCGTAGTAAGAACTAAATGAGCTGATGCATGCAAAGGGTTTAAAACAGTGACTGGCAGGTACCTTGAGCGCTTGCTACCACTAAGACATTGGATCTCTCTCTAGAGTCAAGCACTATAGAGTTCTCTTTGTGTGTGCCCACACACACACACATACCAGTCCTGGGTCTTGAACTCAGGGCCCAGGCACTGTCCCTGAGCTTTTGTGCTCAAGGTTAATACTCTACCACTTTAGCCACAGCTCCACATCGGCTTTTTGCTGGTTAATTGGAAATAGTCTCATGAATTTTCTTTCAGGCTGGCTTTGAACTGTGATCCTCAGATCTCAGTCTCCTGAGTAGCTAGGATTACAGATGTGAGCCACCAGCGCCCAGCCAGAGAGTTCTTTTGCTGCCAGCCTGGAACAAGGTATGGCAGGCCCTTGGTTCTCTCCCTACAAAGCTGAATGGTCCAAGGGAAAGGAGAGAAGAGGGGTACAAGTTCTTGATTAGTCAACAACGATGGTATCTACTCACCTTCATCTCCTCGTTCTCAAAGAGAAAGAGGATGATGAAGCTGGCCCCTCTCCGCAGGTCCAGGCCAGGCCAGCGGACCTCTGCCTGCCACTGTCCACTGTGCAGGCTGTTGCAGATGGCGTGGGGCGTGGTGGTGTGGAAGCGAGGGTTGAAGTGGATGGCAATGTCTGGCCGGGGACTCAGGCTGCAGCCACACTGAAAGTCCACCTGAAACCTGGGGGCAGTGAGTGGCATCTGGCTGTGCCACTCTGCTCATAACCCACAGAGCTCCCCAAGGCAAAGATGAACCCTCAGCCCAACCCCTCTCACTTTGAGCTCCAGCACTGCCCACCCACAGCCCCCTTCCCCACACCCCCCCTACCTGCGGGCGTGCAGAGGGACCACACCCTGAAGCATGACCATCTTGCCTGCATACAGACCGCCAAAGATTGTGGTGACATAAGGAATTACCTGAACAGAAAGGAATGAAACCTCCACATGCAGGCCGGAGAGAGAACCCACGGCCTCGCTGTTTGGGACGTGGAGAGGGAAGAACACGAAACTCAACATCCTCACCCCAAATAGAAAAAGAAAAAAATGCAAACTAGGATTTCATTAGAAAATGTTTTTTTTTTTATGGTGTAAAAAAATCAGTTTTCCCTGGGATAGTCTCTCCAGCCTATTACCTTTCTTTTTTTCTGCTTATGTGGTGCTGAGGAAGCGAACCCAGGGCCTCTGGCATGCAAGGCAAGTGCTCTACCACTGAGCTACCTTCCCAGCCCCTCCAGCCTGTTACCTTTCTTTGGGATGTACATATATCAAAGCCCTGAGGACGCATGGTTCATCCCCACTGCCTGCTTAGAGCACCAGCCAATTAGCTCTCCCGAGTCTGAGGCACAATGGGCTGTGTGGAGCCAGTGAGGCGGGCATGGCCTGGATGCGGCACTGGTCCCATACAGGCTTGGTGTGGAGGCTTCCTGAGGCCTGTTTAAAATCAGGATTTGGGAACTGAGAGCTGGCCTTGACTGGGACACTTGGAGAAATACCTAGCACTGATCAGCTACTCACCTGGCCCACCTTTCTTCTCTTTCCTGAACTTGCAGAAACCCTTTGCTTGAGACCCTTAGTAGAGAAGGGCTGGCTAGCTGTTTTCCCTGTGAGATCACCTGCCCCTCAAAGCTAGAACTCACTACCAGGAGGCTGAGATCTGAGGATTGTCCTTTAAAGCCAGCCTGAGCAGGAAAGTCCATGAGACTCTTATCACCAATCAACTATCAAAAAGCCAGAAGTGGAGTTGTGGCTCAAGTAAGTGGTAGGGTACCAACCTTGAGCAAAAAGCTAAGCAAGAGTACTGGCCCTGAGTTCAAGCCTGAGTACCGGCAAAAAAAACACAACATAAAAATGTTAAAAAGCCTAGTGCTGGTGGCTCATGCCTATAATCCTAGCTACTCAAGAGGCTGAGATTGGAGGATCACATGGTTCAAAGCCAGCCTAAGCAGGAACGTCCATGAGACTCTTAGCTCCAATGAACCACCAGAAAATTGGAAGTGGCTCTGTGGCTCAAGTGGTAGAGCGCTTGCTTTGAGCTGAAGAGCTGAGAGACAGTGCCCAGGCCTAGAGTTCAAAATTCATGACTGATTTTTTAAAAAATTGAAAAAAAAGGGTTGAGCTTTGCTTTTCCCCTTTGGTAGTCTGAGCACCTGTCAGTTGACACAGCATGGGCTTGGTGGAGGTGTTTGCAGAAGGAACGTAAGTAGAGCAGCACATCCACTTTGGACAGGATCACAAGACAAGCTTGCCAAGCTGCAGCGGCAATCAGAAGCCCAAGATCACCTGGAAAGAACTGAGCTCTCAGCACCGCCTTCCAGGCGAGCTTCCAGCAGGGATCTTGATTCCTGAACCTTCTCTCCCCACTAGACCGATCTACCTTTCCTGGCCTAAGGGCATTTCAGGAGGAACCTTAAAGGTTCCAGGCTACAGCTTCCATATGTCAGTGCAGCTCCTGGCTTTCCCTCCCCCCTCCCCTCCGGCTCCTTGCAGAGTATGTGATTGACTGGGCTCTGGGCTCATGCAGCCTCTGGGAGCAGAGGGCCAAGTAAGGGAAAGTGATCTTCAGTGCTCACTAGTTCCGGAACTAGTGCTGGGAGTTTAGTACTCTGTAAAGCCTCTGTAGCTTCAGAACATCTCCCAGGCACTAGAACAGGAGGAGGGAGAGTGGACCCCCCTCCCCCATCCCTGATCAGAAGGCTCCCCAACCCTCCCTCCCAGGCTAGAGATGAAACTGCTTTTCTTAATAATCAGTGTTCCCCCTCAATGACCCCCCTGACCCCAAACCCCATTTTTCCAGCCACCCATCCTAGTAGGAGCACAGCACTGGATTTCCTTCTAAGGCTAAATAAAATTCAAGGACCCAGCCAGGCGCCGGTGGCTCACGCCTGTCATCCTAGCTACTCAGGAGGCTGAGATCTGAGGATCACGGTTCAAAGCCAGCCTGGGCAGGTCAGTCCCTGAGACTCTTATCTCCAATAAACCACCAGAAAACTGGAAGAGGCGCAGTGGCTCAAGTGGTAGAGCGCTCGCCTTGAGCTGACGAGCGCAGGGACAGTGCCCAGGCCCAGAGTTCAAGCCCCATGACTGACAAAAGAAATAAAATCCAAGGATCCAGGTAGTCCACCGCATGCATACCTAAGTGGGGATTTGCGGATCAGCCACTTTGCTAAACTCAAAGAGGATCTTCTAGAGCCCCAGGTAAGCCCTAGGAATGCAGGGTCCAAGACTCAATGGTCTCTGTCTTGGGAAGGTGTGGGCCGGAGGGGAGGCGCCCTGAGACAGTTCAGGGTCCCAGTTCAGGGCCAGCGGCTCACCGGGTGGAAGATGGGCGGCTGCAGGATGAAGCTGTCAGGAATTGGGTCCAGGGCTCCTCCAGGTGCCATGAGGGGTGGGGCAGCTCCGCCCTGGGCTGCGGATCTCAATTCCTGGAGCTCTGCGTGCACTGGACTCCCCGTTTCCCAGCCAGCCTCCTCCGCCCGGGCAGCTCTGCCAGCTGTTAGCCTGACCTGTGCCCTGAAGGCTCCTAATGCTGTTTGCGGGAGACCTGGGAGGGGAGCTGCCACCTCAGGCCCACGCAAGGCCCCAACTGCCGGGGTGCAAGCAGCTCCGGGGAGACTGGCGCTCTTTCCAGAAACTCTGTGTTCAGGGGCGGGTCACTGGCCCTGGCCATCCAACTGGCTCCTCTGGGACTGAAGCACATGGCCAAAGCAGGAGGAAGCCAGGGGCCGGCTCCTCAGAAGGCCAGGGGGATTTGTGTTTCCAGAGGCTTCCCTGACCACCTCCCTCCCTTCCCATCAGAGCCGGGGGTGGTGTAGGTCAGAGCTGGAGAAATACTACCACACCTCCAGCTGCTGGGATCCTCCTACTCACCTTAGTCTGTCTCCTTTCCCTGTCACCTTCCCCTTTCCCTCCTCCTCCTCCCCCTCTTCCCCCATCCTCCCCCTCCTCCTCTTCCTTCTTGTCTTATGTTCCTGGAAGCTCCATTTCAGCACTAGCTGGAAATGTCAGGGCCCAGCTGGCATCACAAGAAACTGGAATGAGCAGAAAGGGGGTTGGAGGGGCCCCTGAGGCTCAGAAGAGGCAAGCCATGGGCCGTGGGATCACTGGGCTTCAGGGGAAAGAGACCTGGATGCAGGCATGCTCAGCCTCTGCTTGAATGAACTTTGTACTCTTGGACAAGCCGCTTCCCTCCTTTGGCCTCCTTGGTGTAGCTCCACCTGGAGAGGGTAACCATAGCAACGTCTTTCAGGAGCTCTGTGGCTGAGAGTGGGGTAAGATCAGAGTCTTGGGAGAGTCCTTGCAGTTCTGGTTCCAGCTCCAGTGAGGCTTTGTCTTTGAAAGTTGTACAACTTCTCAACTCTGGCCTGGGTTTGGGAGGTCTCTGGATCTGACCATGCTGTTAGACTTGGCAGGGAGCAGGCTGGGCACATGGTCAATGAAGGCGAGAGTGTATGAAGTTCCTGCAATGAGGAATGAGGAATGCCAACAAGAAAGCTTAACAAAACAAATACCAAGGAAGCCGAAATGTGATTTGTCAGAAGGAGAGGTTCAGGGACGGGAAGGGGGCAGATGAATGGAAAAAGGCAGGAGGTAATCTCTAGAGTTCAGGTTCATTTTCACTTCCAATTAAAGGACAAAAGAAGGATGGAAAGTAAACAAAGCAAGTTTATTTGAGAGTGAAAGGAAAGAAGCACTTAGGGGAGCAGATCTCTGAGAATGGATTTCCTGGTGAAGGGAAAACTCCCTCCGCATCTTTGTCCAGTTCTGTTAGATATTAGTCCTCTCCTCCTTAGATTCTTGTGGGGAAAGTGTCTTCGGATGCCTTCCGTCTGGGACCCCAAGCACAGAAGTTCTTGTCTGATTGGACTCTTCCTACCTTGGAACAGAAGGGCAGAAGTGAGAGTTTGCCTTCTACTTGGCCTTTGCTAGCTTTTGCTTGGGTCATCTGAGCAAGGAAGTGTGAAGGATTCTAGAGCTGATCTGTGAGACCTGGAAAGGGTTACGAGCTTGGAAAGCCATCCCTTACAGCGTGAGCACTGAGCCCTAGAAGGCTCAGTCCAGGCAAGATAGAGGTATAAGTTACTACCCTGAGTGTGTTTAACTGAGGGCTGTTTGGACACTAAAAGCTTAACACCTTGGAGCTAAGGTGGATGTCTGTGTTACAGTTGCAATGTTTATTGCTTCCTTCTGCTCCCCAATGAGGCCCTAACAATAAGAGAGTCAATTATCGCTTTGTACACAAACTATACCTTATCTAAATGGTTGTAACCACTAGATAGATGCCCTAGTACATACCTGTAACTTCCCACCCCACCGTTCCTATCATTTCTCATTTCTTTGGCTTGTACCCTGTGTCACGCTGTTCCACGGTCACAGTGGATTGAATCTCCTCGCATCTTGGAATCCAAGGGCGGAAGTGGGAAAGTCTTTCCTTCCTGTGTGTCTGGGCAGTAGGCACATAGGTACAGGTTTTAGAACCCACTGCTCAGAGCCTGATGGGAATAAAACAGGTGATCTGTACTATTCCATTGCAGCTGGCCATATTGGCCTTTGCCTCCGGTGCCCTTTTCTATCCCTACAACATAATCAGGGTCAGACAGGTGTTCCTCAGGTGAGCGAATACAGACATTCAATTCCATGTATAGATTTGGAAATGGGAACACATAATTTGCAGCCAGCAAATACATGCAACACTGGTGGGAAACTAACCCATGAGGACAGAGAGGAAAGAAAGAACAAAAACAATACAAACAAACCAATTCAGCTCCAATGGAGAGCAGAGAAGATAGGAGACGGGACATAAACACGGAGACTTGTGTCATGGTCCCGGCCTAATAGGGTCAGGTCAGGGGGCAGGGTCAAAGGAAACTCAAGTCCCATGCATTGGACCGACAGCTTTAGTAACCTATCATACAAGTCTCCACCTCTGCCTTCAGGGATTTGGGCTTGCCCATCACCTGGGAGGTGGGGCCTCAACTTCCCCCAGTATGGAGACAAGATAACAGACCCTACCATCCACTCTGTGGTCAAGATGGCGGCCCAGACTTGATCTCCTATTTCAGTCTGACTTAAAGATAGGAAAAGATATTTCTCATTGTTACACTTACTAAGTTCCTGGTCTTGTTTACCATTCTAGCTGTTTACATTTTGGGTCCACCCTAAGGTTACTTTGGGGGAACATTTCTCTCAGGAAGGGATACATGGTGCCAAACAAATGTTAATTCTTGGGGTGAGAAACACATCTCTGAGGAAGAAATGCGTCCTGTTGTCTCTCTTTGAAGCAAAGATAGTGCTTCTGTTTCTAAATACCTTCTTTCTGAGTTGCTTTCACTAGGCCTCATTTTCAAGTGTACCTCTTTTTCCTTATTTTATTTTTTGGTGCCAGTCCTAGAGAGCTTAAACTCAGGGCCAGGGCTATGTCCCTGAGCTTTTGTGCTCAAGGATAGTGCTCTACCACTTCAGCCACAGTTCTACTTCTGGCTTTTTGGTGGTTAATTGGAGATAGGAGTCTCACCAGCTTTCCTGCCCTGGCTGGCTTTGAATCAACGATTCTCAGACAGCTGCCTGAGTAGCTAGGATTACAGGCATGAGCCACCAGCACCTGGCTGCACTTCTTTTAAATGTTTTATGGGTTTTGTTTTGTATTCTACTAATTATTGCTGGTAAAGTAAATGCCTTGCATTTATTTGTTTGGAGTGACATTGTCCAAAAAGAAATGCACTCAATATCTGACTTATATAACTGTAACTCTTCTGTACATCACCTTTATAAAAACAACAACAAAATAAAAATTACAAAAAAAAAAAAAAAAGGAAGGGCTGGGAAGGTGGTCAGTGGTAGAGTGCTTGCCTTGCAAGCATGAGGCCCTGGGTTCGATTCCTCAGCACCACATAAACAGAAAAAGCCAGAAGTGGCGCTGTGGCTCAAGCGGTAGAGTGCTTGCCTTGAGCTGAAGAGCTGAGGGACAGTGCCTAGGCCCAGAGTTCAGGTCCACAACCAGCAAAAAAAAAAAGGAAATATGAATTGGGTCTCTACCAATGGAAGAAGGGCTCTCTGTAGATGAGGACCAGGCATCTACCTTTACACATGCTCTCCAGACATGCTGATGAGTGAGAATGTGTGAGAAACTCTGACTTAGTTCATAACTGAGAGGGCTTTGGTTGTTGAGATTCTGCTGGGTAGATGGAGCTGGGTGGTATAAGGTGCTTGTGAAGGGTAACTTGCTCAGGAAGAGTAATCTAAGTAGGGGTGGCAGTAGAGAAACCAAAAGTGGAGAGACCAGTTGAGCAGGGGTGTGAAGCTTGCACTGGGATTAGATCAGGGGCCCTTCCCAGTCCCAGAGCTGGGCAGATCTGTGGCCTGGGGCCTGTGATGCCCAGCCCCCTACTCAGACCTGGCCCTGCAAGGGCTGTAAGGGAGGAGGAGTACCTGTGCAAGGCTTGCCTTAACAGAGGACCACAGGGAAACAGCAGCAGAGATCTGTTTTCTCACTATTCTGGAGGCAGAAGCCCAGGATAAAGGCACTGGCAGGTTGGATTTCCCCGAGGCCTCTTCCTGGGCTTGCAGAAGGCTCACTTTGTGCCCTGATGTGGTTGTCTCTGGTGTTTTTCTTTTTGCCAGTTCTGGGGCTTGAACTCTGGGTCTGGCGCTGTCTCTGAGCTCCTTTGCTCAAGGCTAGCACTCTACCACTTGAGCCACAGCCCCACTTTCTGGCTTTTTCAATGATTAATTGGAGATCAGAGTGTCACAGACTTTCCTGCCCAGGCTAGCTTTGAAACACAGTTCTCAGATCTCAGCCTCCTGCGTAGCTAGGATTACAGGCTTGAGCCACTGGCGCCTGGCTTCTGGGCTTTCTATTTGTGAGTGATAGGTCTGCCAGGAGACCAGCCCCCTCCCCCATTCCTCTTCACCTGCCTAAAACCAGTAATCACCTGACTGTCAAACACCTGACTGTGAGTCAGCAAAGAACCCCAGCCTTTGAGGTCATTTCCTCATCTGCTGAGGTCACTTCCTGAACTGCACTGGCCACGCCTCCTTCTGACAGTGAGAAGTTCCCCCGGCTCTGAGATCACTTCCACATGCGCTGTGGTCCTGCCTCCCACCTTCCCTATATGATCACGCTCAACACAGGCCCCGCCCTCTTTTCTTCCCTTCTCTCCATACGCCTCCATCTTGCGGATGCTGGCAGTTTGCTCTCCCCCAATAAACTCTTTTCTGCCTGAAGTGAACCAAGTGGCAGTTTCCTTTCAGTGACCTTTACAGTGAGCTTCTCTCTTCTTAGGTAAGGATTGGTGGACTCATGTATTTGGATGTAAGAAAAGCCATCTTTTCTATCAAAGTAGGTTCCTTAAAAGTTCTTGCTTTGCCGGGCGCTGGTGGCTCACGCCTGTAATCCTAGCTACTCAGGAGGCTGAGATCTGAGGATCGCGGTTCAAAGCCAGCCCGGGCAGGAAAGACCGTGAGACTCCTATCTCCAATAAACCACCAGAAAGCCGGAAGTGGCGCTGTGGCTCAAGTGGTAGAGCGCTAGCCTTGAGCTGAAGAGCTGAGGAACAGAGCCCAGGCCCAGAGTTCAGGGCCCACGACCAGATCCAAAAAAAAAAAAAAAATTCTTTTTTCCCCAAATGCCATTTATTTCAACAGCTTGTAGCTTAAGAAAGAAAGATATTGGATTGTCTTTTTCTTTTTCAAAAGCTCTGGTTTTGAACATCTAGGAAGGATGTGAGTAAGCTTAAAACAGAAACAAAAAAATGATAGTTCATAGAAAAGCAGACAGGCAGGGAATTAAGGTCTGTACAACTTGCAGATGGCAGGAAAAGCTGATAAACCAAAACCTGAAGTGGGAGTACGGGGCTACAAAAGAAGTAAAAAGGACAGAAGAAGGAGAAAGTAAGGATGTGGTACTAAATCTTTGGTGCCTGTCCATACCAGGAACAGAAAAGATACCCACCATTAGCATTTTTCAAGGGCCCCATTCTTCCTATTTAGTCCACTGAAGAGATTGAAATATTGTCTTCCTATGGCATATCTATGTCACATGTTCTATTTCCCTGCCTGCCTGCCTCCTCCCCCCCCCCCCGCCTTTCTACTTGTACCCTTGAAAGTGAGATGCAGGCTGGGTCCTAAGGACCCCCCTTTAGGTTCTATCTCGAAGACTAGCTGTCCTGGACTGGAATTCTGTTAGCTATAACTGTCTGTCTGTCTATTCTTCAGGGTACCCACACTCTGCTAGAGTGTACCCCGGCCTTTCTGCTTGTTTGTCTGTTTGTTTGCTTTCTTGTTTACATAGTAAAGCTCCACCAAGTTTTCTTACTATTGTGACTTTTCTAGAAATTCACCATCTTGGCCATGTGGTGGGTTTTCTTGTGTCCCCCACTCCTCTAGCAACCATTTAAAGGTCAATTCGTATGCTAATGTGTCCCCTCACCAAAATTATTTTAAATGTTTTCTGATAATTGGCTCCACAGGCCACAAGTAAAAAAAAATGGGCTGTTTTAAACTCAAGCCGCAAAGATGCTCCTCAGATTTGGGTGTGGATAAATGTGTCTAAATGTCTGTTTCCAAGTATGTAAGCCACCTTGGATACAGAACTGACAATGGTTTCAATCTTGAGTAATATCTTAAAGTACTGCATTCAGTTAATCAGTTGCTGTTTCAAAACTCTCATCATGCCTACTATTGAGTTTTGTCATTACAGATTTTATCCTCTGCATCATTTAGTCAGACCCACAGAGGTATAAATAATTTTTCTTTCTTCTTTTTTTTTTTTTTTTGCCAGTTGTTGGGCCTGAACTCTGGGCCTGGGCGCTGTCCCTCAGCTCTTCAGCTGTTGACTAGCACTCTACCACTTGAGCCTCAGCCCCACTTCTAGCTTTTTCTGCTTATGTGATGCTGAGGAATCAAACCGAGGGCCTCATGCATGCAAGGCAAGCACTCTACCACTGAGCCACCTTCCCAACCCCATAAATAACTTTTCCAAGTATTTGTTGATCAAATTTCTATTTTTAACAAGTTCCAAGTAAGCTTGGTTAAAAACTATTTCTACCGATCTCCTTGTTGCTCCAATTGAAAATAAAAAGTGTCTTTTGGCAAAAAGATTTCTTTGATCTGAGATTTGAGGTTTGAAGCCAGCCTGGCCAGGGCAGAAAGGTCCCTGTGAGATTCTTATCTCTCCCTAACCAGTAGAATGTTGAAGTGGTGCTGTGGTTCAAAGTGGTAGAGTGCTAGCCTTGAGCAGAAGAGCTCAGGGACAGTGCCCAGGCCCTGAATTCAGTAACTGACAAAAGAAATGCCAACTGGGTCAAGCCCCCTAGCAACAGGCACCTAGACTCCTGGGACAAGCTAGTCCTGGTGACAAGGGATAATGGACAGGAGTTAAGAGGGGATGTGTCAGATCTTACATGAAATCACTTTGTGCTGGCCTTTCAAAATTAACCAGAGCCAAGAGTCAAAAGAAAATAGTTAATAAGCATGCCTATCTAATGTTCATACCTGTTTTTCTTCTAAGTGGACAAGAATTTATAGTGAGTCTTAGACTCAAGACAGTTTGTCTTGGTACCTTCTTGGGTCTCCCACCCATACTCCATAGTCCAGACATCTATAGTCCAGCTACAGGAAATGTTCAAGGCCTCCTACTAGTCCCTTAACCACTTCAATCCAGCTCCAGCTTCTGACTAGTTTTTTTTTTTTTTTGTGAGTCATGGGGCCTGAACTCTGGGTCTGGGCTCTGTCCCTCAGTTATTCAGCTCAAGGCCAGTGCTCTACCACTTGAGCCACACAGCCACTTCCAGGTTTTTCTCTATGTGGTGTTGAGGAATCGAACCCAGGGCCTCATGCATGCAAGGCAAGCACTCTACCACTGAGCCACCTTCCCAGCCCTGACTATTCTTTTTTGTCGGTTGTGGGGACTGAACTCAGGGCCTGGGCACTGTCCCTCATCTCTTCAGCACAAGGCTAGTGTCCTACTACTTGAGCCACAGTGCCACTTCTGGCTTTTTCTGCTTATGTGGTGCTGAGGAATCGAACCTAGGGCCTCATGTATGCAAGGCAAGCACTCTACCACTGAGCCACCTTCCCAGCCCTGACCAGTTTTTCTTAACTAGTCCAATGCTCCCATACCTAGCTGCCAGATGTTAATCAGTCATAAGTAGGGACATGAGCCAACAAGAACTAGTCCTGAACTCTTCCTTCTGCCTTTTGTGTGCCCTCTAATAATAGTTTTTCTTATTGCTCAGCCCCTGCTCCTAAGGCTTCTTTTATAAATTTCACCCATACCTATGTTCATGACCAAGGAACTTTTAACTGCTGCCTTCTCCCAGACCAGACAATATCTCTGCCTTCTACCTCTAATGTCAACGTCCCTTGCCTGCAGGAAGTAGCAAGAGAAAATCAGCATCCTTTATAACTATCAAAAGGCTGGAATGTTAGGTCTACCCAGGAAAAATGGCTTCTTCCCTTTGTTCTCCCTTGGTGTACAAGTGGCCCCTTTCCTAGAAGTCCCGCCCAGAACTTGCAAGCCTCCTGACTGGCACCTGGAAGCCGTGAGAGGTCTCCCAGGCCCTGAGGTCATCCTGCAGCAACTCCTTCCCACACCTCCTCCCTGCCCCCTATTCGACCCCATCCTTAGTCCCCCACCCCCACCCCGCTTTTCCCTTCCCCTACATGCCTTGTGTCACCAGACAGAGGTGAGGTTTAGTGAAGCTTCCCTTTAAATATGGGAACTCTTCACTTAGGGTTCTTGACTTCAATTACAGAGTAAGAATTTCTGGACAAGTCACAATGGTAAGAAAACTTGGCAGAGCTTTATTAAGTAAACAAGGAAATAGACAAAAAAGCAGACAAACAGAAGGGTAGGGGCGCCCTCTAGCAGAGTGTGGGTGCTCTCATAGGGACACAAAGACACAGACACAGGTAAGGAGACACCCAAAGAGACACCAGCTCCTTGGGCTGTTTGGTATTTATAGGGGAAAGGTGCTGGGTGGGAAAAAGGGGGTCTGGCTTTAAGTTATGCAAAGCTAGGTGCTTTGTCTTTGCCTTAATGACACCTGGTGTTCCAGGTAAGAATGCATCCTGCCATAAAACAGATCCTTATCCTTGAAAGGAGGAGACACCCTGCTATCTGTATTTTGGGGCATCCTATCAGGCAGTTGTGAATTCTTGGGTGAGAAATGCACCCCTTGGGAAAGAATGCATTCAGTTGCCTTTATTTGAAGCAAAGAAGGCATTTCTAAGTTTTTAGGTAACATACTTCTGAGCTGCCTGCACCGGGCCTCTGCTTCCATGTTATCTGCTTCATTTCCCCCCAAATGACTTGTTACCTCAATCTTAAGGGAAGTTCACGAAGGAATATCTCCTGTATTTGCTATTAGCTGACCATACCTCATTTTCCCGAGTCTATCCAGTGACACTTGAACCCCCTGCACCCTCTTGTCCGGTGCAGCCCAGCAGTATGCTCTTTCCCCCAATAAACCCTCTTCTGCCAGAACCCTGCGACGACGTCTTTTTTCTGTGAGGCTGGAGTGAGAAAGCCAAGTGAGAAGGGTAAAGTTCAAGCCTCAATACTGGGAAATATTGGGGAAAAAAGATTTTAAAGTTGTTCTCCCATCAACTTTGGGCTACTGGGTTATAGACGTTTGGGCATCTGTTTATAGAAAGCATGAGTCTGCCAGAGGCTCCTTCAAGACAGTGTGCAGATGTGAGATGAGCATTTCCTTTGCAAACACTGGTGCCCAGAGTTCTCCCTACCTCATGTTCCAGGACTTTTTTCTTTCCTTTTTAAATAAAGATATTCTTACTCAGTGTAAGGAGCACTCTAATTAACTGTGCCCACGGACGACCGTGGCGGAACAGAGCTTCCTTTTCCTTTTTTTTCCTTTCCATTAAACTGCGTTCGGGGGAGGTGGCAAGGCTAGAAGCAAAGGGCGCCTGCGCGCTTTGCAGCAGCGCTTTTCCAGCCAGGGTCGGTCTCTGAACGCCCAGCGCCGCCGCCCCTGCCGCGCGTGCGCGTGTCACACTGGGGAGCGTGGTGCACTTCGGCCTAATTTTATTGCCACGCTTGGTAACTTTGGGGACGGGGGAGCGTCCAGGAACCGCAGGCTCCCTTCCCGCTCGAAGTTCCGGGATGCTTTCAGCACGTGGACCTACGCAAGCCGCCGCTCCGCGCGTCCCGGCCCCACAGCACGCTCTGGCCTCCCTCTGCACGCACGCGCCCCTGCGCTCCCGCGCCCCCTGCACGCACGCGCCCCT